CCTCGGGCTCCCCACACGCCTGCTCCTCAAGGAAAATGTCCCCGGCTCCTCACGCCAGAGACCGGGCCGGGGGCCTGCACGCCTCCGCGCAGGAGCCCAAATTTGTCTTTCTTTTCTTTCTTTCTTTTTTTTTTCTTGGTCTTATTTATTTACTTTTATTGAAGAAATGATTTTCATTTTTTAAAGTTGTTTTCAAGTTTTTCAGCGATTGGATGACTCAAAGCTTCGTCTCCTGCTTTGAATGCAAACTTCTGTTCTGTCTTCGATGCGTTCCCTTTTGGGTATCGACGATGCCCCCTTTGGGTCCGAAACTTTGGTTTTACCAGGTTTTCGGAACGAGGATCGGTTTCGATAGGCAGGTGACTCTGCCACCCGTGTCGTCGGGCAGGCTTTTCGATGTCGGCAGCACCGAAACCGGTGCGGGGTTGCGAGGTGTTGTCTCTCTGTCACATCAGGTGACATCAGGTGACATCAGACAACCGGCGGGGCGGGGGCGGGGAGGGGACTGTCTCACAGACAACTGCTGCCAGCACCAGGGCGGAACCCGTCCACCCGAACAGTCCGTTCTCGCGAGACCCGCGGCACCTGGCAACACGCATCCTTTTCCCCCCGGGGCTGAAGGCCATGTCTGTGTCCCTTGCGAATCCACCGTTAAACATGGCGTTGATTCTGCTTCATTCTGTTTTGTGGTCTGGCGTCCCCGATCGCAGGCTCACGGTTTCTTTCAAGGGCGACTGACTTGGAAAGAATCTTTTCTGATAAAACTTTGTCCGAGGTTCAACTTCTTTTCCTCGAATGACGAGGATTTTGTAATCCAGGGAGTTTTCGATTTTTCCGCGGCTGCGAGGAAGCTTGGCGTTTGATCGCGGCACGCGTGTCATTGTAGGCTTCCGTAACACGCGCTCTAGGTCACCTTCTGACTTCGCTGTTTTCATACCTTCTTTTCCATTTACGAGTTTCTTTGTGCGTCTGGCATTTCCAAGAAGGCAGCGGTAACTCACGAAGCACACGCTTTGGATGCACTTGGCCCTACACCTAAGGGCCTGTGGGTCTTAGATGCCCGAACCTGGGACAGCGGTTCTGATTGCCCCAAACCCACTGGGCTCGCTGGCTCCCACCACGCCCGTGGATGTGGGTGACGGTGCCGGGCTCCCTCCGGGCCTGGTAGGAAATCAGCAACTCGTGGCCTTGGGGTCTTATGAGGCGGCCTCTTCCCACGTGACCGGGAAGAGAAGATGCTAGTAACAGAGACCTAACAAGGAAGAAAGGAAGGGGAAAATGTCATAGTAACCGGAAGAGGCCCCGAAAGCTCAGACAGGAGGCAGGTGACTCCTCGGAAGCAAAGGGGGCGGCAGACGAACGTGCAGAGGTCGGGAGGATCCGGGAAGAGCCCAGGACGTGTCTGCATCCTACGAACGCAGAGAGGTCGAAGTGGCTTGGCCGATGGGGAAGGGGTGGCGTAGGGGGCTGGGGTCCTCCCGCGCTTGGCAGACGACAATCGTGTTCCTTTCCTGACATTGAGAGCTAGTTCAGAGACAGATGCCGACATCAGGTAAACAGAGATAAAAACACCAGCTTTATGAGTAATAAATGTGTTGGACGACGCGGTTTAGTTTTTATCAAATACGCACCCCAGAATTCGATGTCCCCACTCGGTCCCGGGCACTACCAGCCGCCGCGGGCCTCCCTTGTCACAGGCGGCCAGCCAAGCTCCCTAGACGAAGAGGACGGCTCTGTGCGGGCAGCCGGCCCCCCAAGAGCAAGAGCAAAGCGTGCTGGCATCCTGGCCCCCGAAGTCTGCCCGGAAAATCGGTCCTCGACAGGAAATAGAAGGCGGAGAGAGGCCAGGAGTGTGGCATCGGGAAGAAGGACGGGGCTGGGGAAAGGCGACTTGCCGGCAACGTCCGGGACCTGGAACCAGCATGAAAACCGCCGGGCGGGCAGTTTGGCCTGGATCAGACAACTTTATGATCGACCGACCTGGAGTAAAATTACAGGGCAGGAACATTCTTAGAGCTCGGAATAGAATCCGTCAAGATCCCGAAACGCGGTTTCTCCAAGAACGAGCGGGAGCGGGCCGTCCCGCGAACGTCGTGCTTTTACGGGAACATCTGACTCTGTCATTAGGGAGCCGTTCCCGGGCAGTTTACGAGATGCCTCGCGGGCGGAGGGCGAGGGCTGCCCGTGAAGAGATGACGACAGGGAAAGCGAGTCTTAATAACAGGCGTCCCGCGGAACCCCGAACGCCTCCATCCCATCCTCGGGAAGACCCGGGGGCGCGGCGCGACAGCGTGAGCGCGGACCTCTGTTTAACCGGCGAGAGTCGTCCCTGATCACAACACAGGAGCATCTCCAAGAGGATCCTGAAAGTGACAAAGTGCTCGTCAGAAACGGCGTTTCTTTTTTTCTTGAAAAGAAACTAAACAGACAGAAAAGAGTCACGGCGCATTAATCCGATACCATTATCTTCCACTTGATTGGAAAAACAACTGGAATTATATACATGCCAGATATTGAGACTGATGAGGGCACTAAGTGGTTGCACCCTCTGAACGGATAACTCCTTAGGCCAATCTATACAAACGACAGAGAAATCGGGGGGCGGGGGAGGGAAAACACAGCTATTATTCATCAGGACTGATCAAGCAAATTAGGTCCTGGGCTCTCGGTGACTTCGGCACGGGCATGGCGCAGGAAGGGGCCCGCACTGTCATAAATCGGGCTGAGCTGAAATTCTGGAGCCCGTGGTCTGGTGAAGGCCCAACCCACCGCATGGAAAGTCGGGGGACGGGCCCCAACGTGCCGTTTTTCCCTTTCTCTGTCCTCCCTCCCTTTGGGCCCCGTGAGCAGGCACACGGGTGGAGGGCAGAGGAGAGCCAAGGAAAGTCCCGGATTTCTGATCGGAGAATGGAAAGGGGGAGCCGGAGAAGCTTAGGAAAGTGACCCCATGAAGTAGTTTACAACCTGCAGAGCTCACCCCGATCTGAGTGTGTGCACGTGTGTGTGCGGGGTGGGGGGTGGGTGGGGTGGCGCTGCTTATTAGCATACCAAAAGCACCGAAGGATATGTGTGAACAAAAAAACGGTCGGTAAGGACCCCTGAAATTCCTTGCTTTCCTAAAGGAAACAACAAAACTCGCAACACTTTCAAAATCAACTTTTTTGGAACTCTGGGACTTGCAGTGATCTGTGGAGTGCTTGTTCAAGAAATGTGGCTGGGTCTTGTTCGTTTAAAAAAAAAAAAAAGTGAGCTTTCGGGCATTGTAACTCACCCGGTCCCATCCCCCACTCCTCAGCTCGGTGGGAGCCCTGAAGATAACATATCACCTGCATTCCTGGGACCAGTGACAGCAGAAAGGCCCTCATCCGAAAGAATTGTAATTATTTCTTTTGTCCTCTTTGGTGGCTCAAAAAAGCCTGGCTCAAAACACTTGTCTTAATTCCCCTGACTTGGAACCGGCCCAACGCTAAAGTTTCTAGCCGGGGGAAATTGTGTGTGTGTGTGGGCGGTGGCGGGGTGGGGTATATGTCAAAAACATTTATGGGTAAATGTTTTAGCCCCTACTCCCTGAGTTGGGGTAAGCAATAGACTAAAATCTTGGGAGAAAAGGCCGAGAAGTGAGATGTCCACAGGGCTGTGACAAGCTCTGGCATGTTCTGGAAATCTAGAAGGCCACGCGTGTGCATCGGCCCGTGCACACGCTCAGGAAAGACCCAAGAAGGCTGCAAGCTCCATTCTGGCTGACCTTGAGCTCTGTGCAAGCAGCAAGTGGAGGCTGAGGCAAAGATGGAAACCACTTGGCTGAGCGTTGAAGCTGTGTGTACACAGAGTCCCTCAGCAAAGACTGGGACTTTTTTAAAATTTAATTCCAGAGGTTAAAGGAAATCTCTATCCCGTCATTAGCTGACCACAAAGCTAACAGAACAGACACTTCAGCGGTCACACGCAACGAAGAATAGCCTTGACAGAATTACTTTAGAAGAATCACTAGACAAACAATCGCGACTATAATAAGAAGCAACAGTAAGAAACCTTGGGGAGGAGAGAGACTCTGACTTCCCGAGTTGCCATATGACAATATTCAAAATGCCCCGTTCTAATGAAAACAACTACAAGACATGCAAAGGAAGGAGAAAGTGTGGCCCACACAAAAGAAAAACGGTGATCAACAGAAAGTTTCCCTGAAGAATCTCAGACGCTGGATTTATAACTAAGACTTTCGATCGGCTAGTCTAGGTATGTTCAAAGAACTGAAGGAAACTGTCTCTAAAGATTTAAAGGAAAGTATGAGAATGATGTCTCATCACATAGAGAATATGAAAAAAAAAACTCAGAAATTATTAAAAAATGTTTCGTAACCTAACAGAAATTCCGGAGTCGTAAAGTACAATAACTGACATGAAAAATTTACTATAGAGGCTTAAAAAAAAAAAAAAAGCAGATTCAAGCAGGCAGAAGAAAGAGTCAGCAAATTTGAAGGTAAGTCAGGAAGTCGATCCAGTCCGGGGAACAGAAGACAGCGTGGGGGCCTGTGAAACAGCGTCGGCAGAACAGCACGCACATAACGAGGGTCCCAGGAGAAGGAGAGAGAGAGAGAGAGAGAGAGAGAGAGAGAGAGAGAGAGAGAGAGTAGCAGAGAGAAGAGTCGAGGGAATAATGGCAAAAATGTTCCCAAATCTGATGAAAGATATGAATCTGTACATCCCAGAAGCTTAACGAATTCCAAGTAAAATAAATAAACCCAAAGACATCCACACCCATCCACCTCCCAGTCAACCTGTCACTAGCCAAAGA